ATATAAATTTTAGGCGTTTCAAGAATACAACTCGATTTGATATAAAATATCATTCTCGCCACTATAAATATTACAAAGAAAATATTATATACATGTCTTTACAGTTATATTCACATAAMCGTCATTCAAGACCTTCTCTTAAGGGGTTACATAGGTTTACGGTCTTCAAAAACTCGATTTTGTTTATTGACTTTTTAAATTATATAGCACCTCTAGAATATTATGCTAAATTTTCAAGTTGATCTGAGTAACAGTTTCGGAGATACAGCCTTGAGAACTTGTGCGCTGGAGACTAGCTAGCAACCGCAATGCGCCGTTTTTAAATGCGTTTTTCTCGAAACTGTGTTTTTGCAGTCGATTGTCAGGATTTCGCGAGAACTACTCAACCGATCTTCATGAAATTACACAGGTCTGATATASAATTCTTAAAGACTTGAACAAAGGTTCGAAAAATTCACTGAAATTCGCGAAAATTTCACTGAAATTTTAAATTTTTTTGTAAAAATTTCTGCCAAAAATACAATTTTCAGTTTTTTTCCTTCGTCAAGGTTAAGGTATTAACTAAAACATGTATTTTTTCACTTTAGATGATTCTAGAAGGAGTTATCCTGCAAAGGCGGGTGCATCTTATTTCCGAGGGGTCACCGGAAATGGCGTCGCAATGGCCGAATTTAAAATATTTTTTTCCAAAAAATTTCAGAAATTCTTTGTTAATAGTGTATGTTTGTAAACGTACAAAATTCTAATAAAATATCTCATAAGAGAAAGAAGCAGCTTTTTACCTGAGGAAACCCATGTAACTCCTTAAGAAAAAAAATATACTCAAGGCATTATTAGCCTTTTAATTTATTTTCAAAACGCTTTTATGAGCCTTTTAGTACTGGATACTTGACAACTGTGTTAAGGAAAACAAATTCTGAATGCTTTCATAACCTCAATTTTATGAAATTCATTCCGTGTGGACAAGTATTTGCTTTAAGCATATTTCTATTATACCTGGTTCTAAGTTAAGGACATAAAAGTCATAGGAAAGTATTCAAATTTTTTTTTACAAAAAATAAGGTTAAAATT